ACGGGTCCCTGGGTCTTTGGAAGACCGGGTTTGATTGTCCTGTTTCAAATGGCGGCGGGGTCTACCCTGCAACCACCAGCTTTGCCAGCTGAAGAGAGTTGCACAGGGCTTCGCCGCATAACATTGCGAATGTAGGGCTCGAAACTAAATATGGACCTGCATGTCCTGTCGGCTCTCATATGGGATTCATTAATGGTCTAAAACACCCTTAGTTCTCCATACTCGCAGTCTGCATCAACGCTCATTGTCAAATATTTCCGATCCCTTGCTTTTGCAAACAGTCACTCCTTTACTTCTTCTATACTGTCTTTTGTCTAATATGGTGTCGAGCCGGTCCCTCCTGACGGTCTTCGCGACCTTCATTGCGGTCGCTGCCAGCCAAAAATGTTACGCGGTCGACGGTACGGCCCTCGACAGTACATACACGCCATGCAACCCTAGCGCGAAGCACAGCAGTTGTTGCGCGTCCACCGATGTTTGCATGAGTAATGGATTGTGTATGGGAACAACGAACGAGTCGATTGGCATGATCTTCTCAAGAGGATGTACGGACTCCAAGGGAAAGGATGCTTCATGCCAACAAATATGCCCTGGTGGTATGTCCACGAATGTCCGTCATCTTTGGTTCATCAACTAATCCGCTACAGTTTCCGACGACTCCAACGGTCTCAAGCCGGTAAAAGCTTGGCAACTCCAAACGTGCGACTCGGGGGAATACTGTTGCCGCGGCGCCGATGATACAAAAAGCTGCTGTGACAACGCAAAGGCACCGAAAGTCACAACTACGTTCAGCGCTACCCTTCAGTTGCAAACTCCAACTGCAACCAATCCTGTTGCAGAAGTCGTCGCAACCGCAGTCTCTACCGGAACCCCCTTCGAAGCCACTACCACACCAACCGCCCATGCGTGCGCCAAAGAGAAGCGAGAGACTGCAATAGTCGGCGGTACCATCGCAGGTGTATTCAGCATGCTGATAGCGGGCCTGTCTGCTACTGTCTACTGGATGTACAAGAGGGAGAAGAGGCAGCGCAAGCTAAAGGAACACTACGAGGAGCAGTTCTCGCAGACCAACGCGTATCGAAAGGCGTTGGCTTCGAGCGCAGGATCTTGCAGAGGCAGTGTGCTCCTGGACGAGCTAAAACTGAAGTCTAGTGCTTCAGAGTAAGGGTCACACACGACCAACGTTTCTTTTGTTTCACTCTTTCACTTTAGCGTCGGTGTTTCATGGTTCCAGTCTTGGTGATGGGGGAAGGTAGTGGTGCTTTGGTCTGGTGTTGACTGGTCTTGGGTATTAGCCCATTTGGTTATGTCTTTCGGCAGTTGCGAATACCCTTCGGTGCATTCTTTTCCTTTCGGTTGGTTTAGAGGTTCGGTTATGTCACGATGATGTTAAAAAGGAATAACACTTAGAAAGTAGTTGTTAGACACCTCGGGGTGCGATAGATATATGTATTTTAATGTAGCAAATGTGTACATCAACGCTCAACCTCTCCCAACTTTCCCATGAGCAGTGCCTCGACTTTCTCACCTTTCTTCAGGCTACCCTCACCCTGCGGCATCGCAAGTAGCGCATTTGCACCCCTGAAGCTGCCAATCCGACTACTCCTCTGCCCCCCTGTCGAGCTAGCATATAGCAGTCCGTCTTCCTTAGTCACAACTAGTGCACGGTGATACTCTGGCCGACCCTTGTCCATCTTCACATCCTCATCCAGTATGACCTTGATTCTCGGTAGACCGAGTGGCTTAATACCAGCCTGTTGGTGCAATGCAGGCAGAACAAAGAGATGGAAGCACACCACAGCCGAAGCAGGATTTCCGGGAAGCGAGAAGACAGACTTGGTTACAGGGTTTCCAGAGTTGTCCTTTACTGGCACCGTGGCGAAGGTGGTGGGTTTGCCGGGCTTCATGTTTACGCGACCAAAGTGGATCGTGCCGCCGAGAGAGCGCTCGATTGTTGGCTTGAGGAGATCGAGTTCGCCCATTGAGACGCCGCCAGAGGTTATGATAACATCGCACTTGCGCATGGCGTCGCGAAGTGTCTGCTCGAGGCTACCAGGTCTACAGAGGGTCAGTGATGGCTGATTCAGACACTTGGGTCACGCAATGTAACTCACTTGTCTGAGACAATACCCAAATCGATAACTTCAAATCTGTGGCTTCGTGCAGCAGTGATGAGTGTTGGGCGGTTGGTATCACGCACTTCTCCGAGCCGCAGGGAGCCTTCTCTGTTGTGCGGGATGATCTCATCTCCTGTGCTCAGGACTCCAACGACTGGTTTCTTGTAGACAGACACCTCTTTCGTGCCCACAGAAGCAAGGAGACCGAACTCGCCGCCGACGACTGTGACGCCTTCACCTTTCTTCAAGATGGTCTCGCCCTCTTTGACGTCACTCCCTACTTCGCGTACGTTTTCGTTCGGTTTAATTTCGTCAGTCAGTATCTCGATCTCTTTTTCTTCTTTGCCGTCGTCTGTAAGACTCTTCAGCACTGTATCTTCGACCATGACCACTGAATCGGCACCAGGAGGGAGAGGGGCGCCAGTTGTAATTCTCGCAATCTCCCCTTCTCTCAGCTCTTTAACCTCGCCAGCCTGAGCGTGAGATACGATCGTAACGGGGTAGACTCCTTTTTCAAACTTGCCTGTAAAAGGAATCTTTACGGCGTAACCGTCGACGATGCTAGCGCGGAATGCTGGGACGGACTCAGTGGCTTTGACATCTTCGGCAAGGACGGAACCACTCAGTCTCATGTCTACTGGTACGTGCTCTACTACAGGAGCTGGAGTTTGCTCTGCGATGAGCTTAAGCGCATCGTCAACAGCAAGCATGGGATAAGGAGATGACCGGTATCTACGTGTTGGTCCTGCGGAAGGGTCATTGGACTGGGGACGCTCTTCAGGGTTTGTATGAGCTCTAGGTCCTGCGTGTCCGCCATGACCATGACCATGACCATGATGGTGATGCCCACATCCGGTTCCTGTTCTTGTTATCTATGGTATTGCTAGGAAAAATGACGTGCCGCATACCTGTGGTCGTGCCAGCGGAAGAGACCCCAGCGTCCTTTTCAAGCTTCTCTACGCCACCCGCATGCAGAGGTCTTGATTCTGCACCAGCTGCCTGAATGCACGCATGTGGTAGTAATTTGAGAACCGCCTCCAGATTCTCTTTGGCACCTTTGGGCGATCCTGGGAGAGTCAAGATCAAAGTCTTCTTTCGGAGACCCGCAACAGGTCTCGCCATAAGTGCGACTAATAAACGTTAGTCTGTGTCTTTGGTTCGGGTTTCCTAGACTTACAAGGTGTGACGGCATATGAAGTTGTAAGCATGCCATGTCTGCATCCGTTAGCATTCCCACATGCGACCGGAAGAGATGGCCTACATGAGACCGGGCGCATGTCTGTCAATCAATGGCGTAACTGCCTTGTTGCTATCAGCTAAGTACTCCCCACCAATATATGGAGTGGAGCGCGCACCTCTGGGGTGACATCTTTGGTTGCAAAACCAGTGCCTCCGCTAGTGACAATTAGATTGATTGGATCAGGGCCATCAGTCCAAGTTCTAATTGTCTTCTGAATCGCGAGAGCATTGTCGGGCACGATCTCAGTTTCGCTAACATGCCATTGGTCGTTTCCGAGATCGCCGAAGACTTTCTTCAGCACTGGTATGCACTTGTCGGTCGATGGGTCTTGGGAAGCAGTCTCAGATACTACCAAGACTGCTGCTTTGAGCTTTGGATTTGTGGTGGCCATTTTGATAGATGTCAGGTTAAGTCCAGGCGGAGTAGTGCGGACATGCCACTCTGGTGACGTTGCGCACGGACCATAAATTACATTGATTCTCAACTCCACGCAAGGGAATTACACAAGCATATTTGATCTGGAAATCGATAAATGATATCTAACGCCGATACTCGCTCATATTACATGCATTATACAAGCGCCTCCCTATGTACATGGTACAACCTCTACAAATGACGTCCAGTAACCTCTCGACCAGCTCCACAAGCTGGAACTTGAACGCCTTCCTCCTTGGCGTCGTTCTGAGTGGGACCAAGGTTCGATGTAGCCCGTATAATTGTGCCCGCAGGCGGATTCGTGAGACTCTTGTACGCTCACTGGAAGTCCTTGGCATTGCTCTGCATGAGCAGCCCAATGATCAGACCAAACAGTCCGAGAATGGCAGCGAAAATCTCAATGGTAAGAATCTTGACGAACCTGGGATGGAGTTAGCAGCGAAAGATAAACCCAGAGATGGCAGGCACATACATTGCAGGGTCGGCAGCATCAGCCAGCGCAGCGCTACTTCCGTTGATGCCTACGCATACACCGCAGATGAGGTTGCACATGCCCACAGTGATTCCGGCCCAGAACAGCGCGTATCCAGTGAAGTAGTTGGAGCCGGAGTAGAGCAGCTCAGGGTCGGAGAGCTGGTTCATCTTGGAGGAGAAGATGATGGCCATGATGACACCGTAAATGGCGACGACTTCGCAGAAGATAATGGAGATCAAGTTCTTGGTTCGTATCCGCGGCGCCTTGACACCTCCACCCACGATGGACACACCGGTTGTCCAGATTCCCCTTTGCGACAGTCAGATGGCATGCGTGCAGAAATCCAAGCGCGAGACGTACCATGCCGAGCCTACGACAGAGAGACCAATGCATAGCGCAATTCCGACACTAGCAAATGTGTATGGCGAAATGCTTTCAAGAAAAGCTCCGACCTGGGTTACAGTCAGTCCTGTCCGTGCCGTCGTGGTGCAAACGCGTGCGTACGTTGAAGGCCTCGCCTTCGTTGTTGAAGAGCATGTCTGGCTGTCGTTAGCTATTGCCTGCGCCCCTGCGCGCTGTACATACACAAGCCCACCACACCGAGGGCGGCAGTCGCACCGCCCGTTCCATAGGTAAGAGACATGTTGGGTGTGTTGGTCGGCGAGTAGGAGATGGATGGGAAAAGTGGCGGCTGGAGCTTCGTCGTGATGGACTCGCTGCGAAGCTGGCGATGATGCACCTGGGCAGGCGGAACAAGCCGCGTCGCGCTAGTGCCGGACAGCTTAGTAACCGCCTCCGCGCCCCCGTCACTCTTCCCGCCCAGGCGTCACCTACGCCAGACCACCAGCTCGTCGCAAACACCAGCACCATGGCCACCGACAACACCAAGTACTATGAGCTCTACCGCCGAAGCAGGTACTGCATCCATTTCTGGAAGGGCTTTCCCATGGGCGCTGGCTAACAGAGGACAGTCTGGGCGGCTCCCTTACAGACACGCTCGACAACCTCATTACCGAGCGCCGCATAGAGCCCCAGCTCGCCATGAAGATCCTCTTGAACTTCGACAAGGCCGTCGCCGATGTGCTCTCGGAGAAGGTCAAGTCGCGCTTGACATTCAAGGTCAGTTGCGCAGATGCGACCAGTGGGAAGCATGCCATACTGACGTGCGCCTCTGCAGGGACATCTCGACACCTACCGCTTCTGCGACGACGTATGGACCTTCATCATCAAGGACATCAACTTCAAGCTGGACAACACGCACCAAGTCCACGCCGACCGTGTCAAGATTGTTAGTTGCAATGCGAAGCGTCCTGGCGAGGCATAGAGCTGTACTATATCATCTTTCTGGCGTTAGGGATCAACCAAGGCTTTCACGATACCTATGGCATAAATGGGAGTTTGGGATCGGATGCGCATTTGCGCTGGCTGTATGCCGATAAATTGAAATCATTATGACCTGCATCTCAACAACTGCCACTTGCTTGTCGTGAGTACGTGACCAATTCAAGCTTGACTGGTAACAGAATGTGAATGAGAGCATAGGACGAGTGGTTTGAGATAAGCCCCCATATGCACAAGAAAAAGCTGCCTCAAGCATTGCGTCGACATGCAACCTGCATCGACTACCCCATACATTGACTAAGCGCGGAAGCGCATCCGGTACCTTGCAGATCATTAACCAACGTCTGTCAATCAACATCGACCTCTTTCCCCGCAGCACCCAAGACGGCTGCAACCATGTCTCTTCCGCAAACTAAATCAGCCTGGCTGATGCTTGCCATCACTAGTGGCGCATGTGCAGCTTGCAATGGTGTCTTCGCGAAGCTGTAAGAGACCGTCGCGTTGATCCAGCCCACGGTGCATGCTGACAATGAGGTAGCACTACAACAGAGCTCACAGCCTCCTGGTCGAGCTCCATAGCCCTCGCATTCGGGCTGAGTGCTTCTAACAAGATTGTTGAATATGCGATACGAGGTGTACGTCCTTCCTCCGCCCATACCCATCCGTACTCGCAGATTACTAACACGGCGCGCAGCTCTTTTTCGGCATGAACCTCCTCTTCAATGCCATCATGTGGGGTCTCTTCACACGTGCCCTTACCCTTGCTTCCTCCACCGTACGCGTCAGCATCATAAATACATCTGCCAACTTCATCGTCACCGCCGTCCTCAGCTTCATCATCTTCAGCGAAAGCTTACCGGGACTGTGGTGGCTGGGCGCAGCAATGCTAGTAGCTGGAAGCGTGATTATCGGAATGAGGGAAGAGACGGAAAAGAAGAGTGTGGTAGCTACAACAGGGGAGGCCCCGCTTCTCGACCGCGACGGCGATGCGAACGCCGAGGGCTTCAGGGACGACGATGATGAAGACGAGGATAGAGTCGAACTCAACAGTGTGAAGAACACAGGAGGGGACAGTAGCGATGAAGATGGCGTGTTGAAGTAGACCAGACGCAGATGCGTTGTTATGATAATACACAATTCGGACCCTCTGAACTGGAGCCTGACCACCTGATTACCACGGTACCACTCCTATCCTCCCCCCTCATTCGTCGTCATCGAGAACGCTCGTTTGCCTCAACGGATTTATTCGAGGGACCCGATCAGCTTATTGGAGGATCTATGACGTCCAAGGTAGGTGCAACACGCTCCCGCTCCATCACCGCTTGAGTTGGGACAGTGCATTTCCATCGCATCCAGAACCACTCTCTTTCACTTTGACCTTGGGAGTAGCAGTGAGTGCGCAATCTCTGGGCAGGAGAGTATTTTATAATCCGGTTCGCTTGCCGCCCACTACCTTTACCCAAAATCCGACGCGCTCTTTTCCTCCCGTTTTCCCACAATCCACCGTCAACTTTTCCTCCTACATTCCCAAAATTTATCGCAAAATGCCGAACTCACCAACCCCTGGCCTTTTGGATGCCACCGCTTCTGCGTTTTCTCCTGGTCAAAGTACGCATCCCAGTCCTGCCCCTAGCGAGCGCTTCTCCTCTCCTTCAACGCCCCTCTCAGCTGTGGACTTCCAGTCCCAATCCCAATTCCAGCCACAGCAGTACTTTGGCCCACAAAAGCACCCCGGGTATCAGCCGTTTCCTATCTTCAACGGCTACACACAAGCCTACGAATACCACGCTACTCCACCTCCTTACTCGACACAGACCCAAGGTGCTGCTTCTTGGCACCCTCAGCAGGATAATCATGTCAGCTACACTGTCAACCCGAATGAACCTTTTGCAGATCAGTTTATAGAGCTTCAAGGTGTGCGAAATGGTTACGTCCCAGGCCAGGTAAGTTTCAACTGTACAAAACCCGCGTGAGACAAGCACTGACTTTGTACCTTCACCTCTACAGAACACATGGTACCACTATGGCAATGGGAATTACATCAACAACTACAACAACGACGTTCCCAAGAAAAGTACAAAGAAGAACAAGCGCAAGAAGAACAGTAGGTTCAACAAGGTACGAGACCGCGCTGTGGAGCAGATGGGGGAGTCTGCCACTCAGGCCGAGCCCAAGCCCAAAAACGAAACCAAGAAACAAAAGGCAGAGCAGCAGAATGAGCCCAAGAACAAGACCAAGATCAAGGCTGATGTCGAATCTGAGGCCAAGGTCACGAGCATTATCGGTGGATAAGACTGAGATGTTCAAGTCTTACGCAGTGGATACTAATGGTAGAGCACGATTTTGTGGCTTATGTGGACAGCAAAGACGTCTCAAATCGGTAGTGGAGATGGTAATGGTAATGAAATATGTTGAGATTCGGAATGTACGTTAATATAGCAAGCAAAGAGATCAGGTGGCATGGTGAGGTGGAGCGCGTAATGAGTATTGGTACAAAACTGAGCGAAGGCGTCCAGGATTCAAAGATGGATATTAATGATGGGATTCATGAGTTAGTCTGCATTTGCGCAGTAATAGAGTCGAGCGTTCATTTTCTTTCCCTTTCCTGGTCCAGCAACGAGTAATCCGAACTTATATTCTGAGCCTGGCTATGTACCTGTCTCTATCTCTAATGCAGTCGCCTCAAACCCTCAATCATTCCCTTGACCTCCTCGAGCTCTACACCCAAACCTGCAATTGCCTCTCTCTGTATGTCTTCGCTTACATCCAGGAATCTCTCCACTAGCTCTCCATCGACAAAGCGCATGGGTTCCTCCTCCTCCCTGACGGTGTTTTTGAACGCACGAAATTTGGCAAATATCATATCTCCAGGTGTTTCTACTAAGGCGCCAAGATTGGATTGGAGTGTCATGAGGAGGTTTTGATGTGTGGGAGAGATGAGACCAAAGAGGTAAATCGAGCCCTCGACCTGTATATAGGTTAGTATCCGCGCGTGACAAGTATTGTTAGGTAAACCTACAGTGCCGACAAACGCTCTGGGTACGACTGCAGCGTCCGGAGTTGTCAGGACATCAATCCGACGTATTCTGTTGACCATCTCGCCAAGTAGCATCTCAGAGCTAACGTTCAACCGCCTCTTGTCATCGTCTGTGACACCCTTCGGGTCGCGGTACAGGACCATCAGATTCCCTTCTGCGTCGCTTTCAAGGAACGTGTTCGTGTCTATCTCGGCCACAGACGTCGCCCACGTAGTCTGGTAATGTCGTGCAACCTCTACAAGCTTGTCTGGTAGACCCGCCTCGCCCTTTGTGTACTCTACAACGGCGAGCGACTTCATGAGATCTGCTATGGCGATCATGGTACCATTGACCGTAACATCGATCGGTGCAGTTGAGCACCTGAACGAGGCTAGCTTGACCAGATCAGGTGAGCTTTGCGTTCGGAACTCAACGTCATAGACCACGATGGTCTTGATGAGTGCTGCGACAATCTTGCCTTCGCAAATGGCCAAACATCTACAGCCACCCTTGACGGCGATCTCAGTGACGAGCTTTAGTACGCGTTCAGGTGTCACTTCTAGGATAATTATGCGGCCACGTTCTGCAGTCGCGTTCTGGTCGTCAAGGTATGCAGTGCCGACGACGAAGCGCTCTGCAACGCCGCCTGAGCCATCCGGTAGTTCGCATCGCATGACGCATTCGACCAGCTCCTCGTCGTTGAGAGCGTATGTATCGAGCTCCTTGAATTGAATCTCATCAACGAGCTTGAAGTGACTTAGCATAATCTCCTCGCCGTGTTTCAATATTCTTTTGATGGTGCCAAGACCGAAAGCCTTCAGACTAGGCGAGTATGATATTCTTCGTACCGTTTCGTCGACCTTTAGAGTCTGTACGTGCGTCGTCCGTTCTGTGTCTACTATAGCAATACGGAGATCTTCCGAGGTTGCAATGGCTACAGAGCCAGGGTATGCTTCTGAATCGAAAGGACAGACAGTGGTCGCCTTTTCTGCCGTAACAGCAGAGTATACAAGACGACCCTCCGATGCGTAGATCAACGATGGGTGTTCGCATGTTGCAAAGACATTGAATAGGCCATCGCCTCGCGGCAAGGCACGGAAACTAGCTTCACGCGTACCTAGCACGATGCTTTTCCTTCCAGTGAGTTCATGTGTCGACGGATCGTAAGCATATGTGACGACGTTTCCGTCAGCCAGTGCAGCGAAGAGAGATGGCGGTTGTTCCGGGAAGATTTGTGTCAGCAATAATGAGCGAGGAACAGACTCTTCCGATATCTGAACAGTCTTGACCGCCTCCAAAGTATCGAGAGAGCATATGGCGAGTTGCGAGTTGCTCCAAAAGCCGATGAAGCATATCGAGCCCGAGACCGAGGGAAGAGCAACGCAGGCGACTTGACTCTCGGCACCAAACTTCTTCTCTTTGATCACCTGTAGACCGTCCGTCAGGCTCAATGAGACAATAGTAACGCCCCCTAAGGAGATCAGGACATGGCTATCGTTGACTGATGCAGCCGTGATGGTCTGCCCATCCGTTGGCATCCATTCAGACGTAACCATCCCGCCGTCCAGATCGCAGATTCGAGCCCGTCCGTTGGTAACCTGGACGACGCGGCCTTGTGAGATGTTCGCCGCAGCCAACGTTGTCTCTTCCAAAGCGAGGGAAGCAAATTCATCCACCTCTTCTACCTCACCCTGGGGATCGAATCGAAAGATGCGCGATTCGTTGACGAAGCTCACTAGTAATGTATCTGCGTACTGGGCAGAGGCAGTCGACTTCAGGCTGAAGAGATTGGAGATGTGTTCCATTTCACCCAAGACACCCAAGTCTTCCAGTCCGACTCCGCTTCTGACGCTTCGGAGACTCCCATCCTGATAGGCGCCACTGCCAGTCACTATTCGCGCTTGGCCAGAAGAGTACTCGTTTGTTTGTCCTTCACCGGATCTGTTGCCCATATCCATGATTGTAAAGTCAAGTATAGGCGCGATGTTGGAGAATGTCTGGACAACTTCCATGGACTTCTCTGCAATCTTGATGACCTGCGAATCGCCCTGGTGCGATCCCACGAAGACGTAACCGGCATCCAAATATACCAATGTAGATGCTCGAGACGTCTGCCCAATTACGTCGAGCTTCCATGACTGAACTCCGCCTTGGCTGTTCAAGACCAACATGAACATGTATAAACGACCGTAGTCGTCGGCAAGCACGAATCTCTGGGCGTCAATGCGTTCCCAAGCTACGAAGATTGTCGCCTCGTCCAGTGGTTCAGTCTGCAGCTCTCCACTCTCGTCATCATAGTACCCGATAGACGTCTCCCCGACCACTATGAGACCATGCGAAGGCTCCTCGACAGGTATCAGGTGGCTCGAACCAAGTTCCAGTTCGCTTTTGCACGTATCCCCTTCTTGTAGTTCCACTTCCTCGTTGGCAAACGCCAATTCTCTCAACTTCAGCTTTACTTGAGAGTGCGTGTCTTCGTACAGCAGAGCCATCTTCGGTTTGTCCTCGAATGAGCGTGGGCGCAAGAATGCAGACGAGCGGACGAACATCTCGGGTAATCTGATGGGTTGGGGATCCCCCAGATGGGCAATGTCTGCCTCTTGCTTCCTCTTCTTGCCCCTTTGGACTAGCGGTATGACGGTGACGATGCCTTCGTAAACCTCGACTGTCATGAATCGCCCGGTTGGATCTATGTGACATCTCTCTCCTGTTTGCGACTCTCTCGCAGCATTGTCGGCCACACTTGCAAACGACTTTTCCGTGTGTAGTTGTTTCTTGTCGGCGTTCCATGAGAGGGTAAAGTACATGTATCGATCGGTGCCGACAAAGAGATGGTCGGTCGGCGATAGCGCTGGGCGGAGCTTCTGAAGCATAGTGACCTTGCCATAGATGGCTTTGGAGTGCTGGAGGGCCAATCCATCCGACGTCTGCGTATAGAACTCGAGTCTGTTGGACTTGCTGCAAACATGTTAGCATTCTATCCGCACTATACATGTACTGCTTACGCGACCACGAGGCAGTCCTCCTCCGGGGCGAGGAAGTTGAGCTTGAGCGCATGTCGAACGCTGCTTGGCCGGTGGATGGGTGCTATGTAGGCCATGGCGAGGTTCTACTATCTTGTGCAGCTTGCAGATTGCTCAGAGAACAGAGACGGGGATTGTCGCTGTTGACGGGCTGGAGATATCGGATGCATTCCGTCATTGAGCTGCACGGGCCGCGGCTCCACGCGACTTCGCGCGCGTTGCGGGGCGGCTTAACTTTTGTAACTTTTGGGTGACCGCGAATCTTTTTGCTTGCAGCCCCGACGCGCCCACAGCATGGCTTGTAGCCCCAGCCCTTGATCGCCAAAACACTACACCGCAGTCTGCCAGCACAATGGCCAATTCAGCGGTCATGGACATTGAAGACGACGACCCTGTCGTGGCCGAGTACGATGTCTACATCACCCCCGAGGTGGCCGAGCAGCAGCTCTACGTGCTGCAGTACCTGAACCGCCCGCCAGACCAGCCCTTCACCAAGGCCACCGAGAGCCAGCCCTCGGAGCTGCGCATCAAGAAAGACTCTGGCTTCGTCGAAGTCGACGTCCCCATCAACATCCACCGCAACTACAACCGTGTCGCCGGTGTGCGGTGGGGAGAGGCCATGCGCAAGACCAAGGGTTTCGGCCAGAAAGCTTTCGGTATCGCCTCTGGCTTCGAGCGTACTATGCCTCGCAGTACCAACCGCCCTGGCGCCGCCGGCGAGGGAGCTCCAGCAGCACCCATTGCGACCGAGGACGACGACAACTTTGAAGAGTACGTCACTCACTTCGAGGACGCCAACGAGAAGGGACATGTCTTCAACTCGCAGACATTCGGTGGTCAGATCATGCACGACGACGGCAAAGGCCCCAGCTATATGCTCGGCACCTTCCGCGATAGTAAGCAGTGTACAGCGAGAGCTGCAGCTACAAGACTGACCCGGTGCAGACGAACTCCACCTCACCCGTTGCAACGGTCTCGTCCAGCTTCGAACACAGTTCCATCACATAGATGCCTCCGCTCAGCTAGAGGCCGTCCAGCGCCGCCGCGAGAAGGAGTCACAGGAAGGCGCCAAGGTCGCTGAACCAAAGGCTTTCCTTGCCCAAGTCAAGAAGACGGGCGGTGACACGGCAGCAGAGCTGACGCAGGCCTTCATGAAGTCAACAAACCAGGAGCAGTGGCAGAAGCTCGACTACTTTGACGAGAATGTGCGTTGCCTTTTGCACTCATACTCGCTGCTAATGGGCTAATCATTCTGTAGGACGAGCGCGCTTTCGACGCCTACCATGACCGACTGTTTCTCGCAGATGTTGCGTCAGCCCCCAAGCTGCAGTCCAAGATCGACAACAACGAGTTTCTTGACGCCATCAGTTCTAGCGGCAAAGGCGGCAAGAAGAAGCCCAGGCGCGGCGCCGAGGACCTCATCGAGATATCCGACGACTCCGACGAGGAAGAAGAGGCTACCGAGCCATTAGTGAGTTGAGCAAGTGGATTTCGCGCCCATGACACTGGCTGTTGCGCGAAAGAGCTTCTCGCAGCATCATCATTATCGGATATGGCAGTCGACATCTATCTTCCCATTTACATACTAGATACCCCAAAATATTTTTCAACTATTGTTCCACGACGCTACAGCAGGCCTGCAACTATCGACACAGTCATCGTCTTTTCACGATGCAGAAACATCTCATAATAGAATGCTAATTTGACTGCTTTTAGTTTGATGTAGACCTGGGCTACGAGGTGGTACCACACAAAACTCGCGGCACCCGACTTTTGCACACTGAGTCGGGCTGGCAAAGAGTTCACGCTATTGACTGGTACTATTTCAAGATCTGGGGAGGCAGGAGACGTTATCCCGCAGCTTTTGGTCACGATGCTGCAAGAATCTGAGCAGGCAATACCAGGTGTACGAAGAATATGTACACTATGCGGGAAGATAGTGTACCAGATATGTTATCGTGTGATAATTGCGGAACCTTTGTCGTTGTCGACCTGTAACTGGATATTGGTGGAGGAAACAAGGATCTGCTAAAGTTGATTCTTTGTGTATGTCGACAACTTCTTGTCTCTGAGAATGTCTGCCCATTCGAACCATAATTTTCCAGAAGTCGAACAAGCGACGAAGGAGATAGAGTAAGATAGAGCTTGCGTTACGAACGCTCAATCGTCTAGTCCCGATCGAGCTTGGTGCTCACTCGACCCAGTCTATCTCTCCACACCTCCACCTCACTGCATCAGGTTCACGTGAATGCTAACTTTTATAACACGTCTTCAATCTAACCAGCGTTTCATCTTCCTACAACTGTCCACACCATCCAAGAAACCGCAGAACCAACATGCCAATCACAACCCCACCTTCCTACCCCAGACCAGACTTCCTTCGCGAAGACCTAACATGGACATCTCTCAACGGCCCCTGGTCTTTCCTCTTCGACGACAACGATGTTGGATTAAACCAAGGATGGCATTTGACCAATCTCCCAGATAAAATCACCGTCAACCCCACCAACACAAATAGCGCCGAAAACACCGAAGCCCATAGTATTACGGCCAAGATCGCTGCTGGAACTCAAGAGTTATTGCAGGGGAATCAGTTCAAGAACGATCATACTGTGCATCAGAAGAGAAGTATCCAGGTACCGTACGTTTTCCAGTGTCCTGCCTCTGGGATCGAAGAGAAAGGTGTGCATGAGGTGTTGTGGTACGAGAGGGTTGTAGAGGATTTGAGAACCACAGAAGAGAAGGCAGCTGGCAATCGTGTGTTGCTGAGATTTGGAGCTGTCGACTACGAAGCCAAGGTCTGGCTCAATGGGCGCTTCTTTGGTGGTCATCGTGGCGGACATGTCCCTTTTGACATTGATATCACCGATGCATTTACGACGGAGAAGACTCAGAGACTCACCATTCGGGTGTTCGATTCTGCGCACGACTTGACACAGCCGCGTGGAAAGCAGTATTGGAAAGCTCAGCCGGAGAGTATCTTCTACACGCCCAGTGGCGGTATCTGGCAAAGCGTATGGCTTGAGTCAGTGCCTGTGGTGGCGATTGGAGATGCGAGTACAGGCACGCTATTCAAGAGTAACCAAATCGAGAGTGGCAAGCTGGAAGCCAGTATCAAGATCCTTGGACGGCCTGCTGGGCATGCGTATAGTGTAGAGCTCGAAGCTAGCCTAGCAGGCGTATCCGTCAGCAAGACCGGAAAGATTGACCTGCCACGGGACTCAGACACCGCGTCACTGAATACCAACATGCGGCTATCTGAATCACTGGCTTCACAACTGCCGGCAGGCCTTACATCTACCGCTTCACTTTCCGACCCGACAGCATGGCTCAACAACCTAGCCCTCTGGTCTCCGGAGCACCCAACACTCTACGACCTTACCATCCGTTTGTACGACAGCGAAGACAGGATCATTGATAAAGTCCACACAACAACTGGCATGCGCTCCCTGCACTGGGACAACTCTACCTTCCGCCTTAACAACCGCCCCTACTTCCAAGCGCTCTTCCTCGACCAAGGCTATTGGCCTGAAACTTTCATGACACCTCCATCTTCCGACGCACTGAAGCTAGATATCGAGTTGACCAAGAAGATGGGCTTTAATGGGTGCCGCAAGCACCAAAAAGTCGAAGACCCATTGTTCCACTACTGGGCCGACCGCCTTGGCTTGTTGGTCTGGGGCGAGATGGCAAACGCATACGCATTCTCCGAAGCCTATGTAGAGCGCATGGATCAAGAATGGCGGGAAGCGGTCCTGCGGGATCGCAACCACCCTTGTGTAGTCGCTTGGACGCCAGTCAACGAGTCGTGGGCGTACACTGATCTGCATACAAGCAAGCAGCAGAGGGATCACATCAGGAGTCTGTACTATGCGACCAAGGTGCTGGACTCGACTCGACCCATCAACGACAACTGTGGCTGGGAGCATGTCATGACGGATCTGACTACGTTTCACGATTACGCTGATGCGGACGAGCTTACCAAGACTTGCTCGACCTTGGAGGGTATCATGAAGAAGCAATCAAATCGACCAACGTTCCTTGCACCCATTGAAAGCCTTTGCGATCCGGGGTCCAAACACACCCCTGGTGCACCAGTTATATGCACAGAGTTTGGTGGAGTCAATATCGCGCGAGCGGCTGCGGGTGGAGAAGAGGATAGGACAAGGGACTGGGGCTACACCACTGCTACTGACCCCAAGGACCTGCTCAAGCGCATCGAAAAGATGATGACAGGAATCGTTGATGGAGGGCATTGCTGTGGATTTGTGTACACACAGCTTACAGACATTGAGCAAGAGGTCAATGGAGTGTACACTCCCGACCGCAAAGAGAAGTTGGATGCTACAGAGGTGAAGAAAGTGGTTGAACGCGTCATGGAGAAGTATGCGCAAATGCACAAGTGATTGCAAAGACTAGGTGACCATGTAGATACATGTGGGAATTCACTCAGTTGAAGACAAGCAATAGTTACGTAACATCGTTTCTTTTACAGACACTCTTGTGCCTTCGTGATATCTATACATGATTTCGTTTTCATCCAAGACATAGTTTCGACTGTGCAATTGTTGGCGAACCATTCATGACCGGCATGTGTCTTGCAAGGTCATACTGGCGTACGACAATCGATCGATAATGCTCTGCAATGCGCATGATCCACCTGGTAACGCAGAATAACAAGACGCTGAGGTCGCTAACGAGTCGTGCGAAATGAAAAGTCCAAGTGACAGGAAACGGGTAGTCTCCAATATGCAGGGCTCCGGAATGCGCGACAAAAAGGAAGGAAAGGGGTATCGTCCGTAGGAAAGCCATAAAACTCCGCCCATCCTGCTACTGATGCATGTCAAACGACTCAACCACCATATCGTACACCACTTCTCAAGTACCGCGCACTCTCTTCCTCAAGACGACGTGGCTGCTGGTCTTCTCGGAAGGGAATGTAGTCATGGTTTGGAGGAGCGTGTCTCTCATACACCCTGTTGTCAGGCATGTAAGCACGAGATGGCTGAACAGTGGGAACATCATACTGTGCACCCCTCATGTCATGCACAGGCATTCGGTGAGGTGGTCCAGGAGCATATGCATGTCCACAAGGATCAGCCGCCGCAAATGAGCGTGGAGGTACATCGTAGCCTCTGCCGCCATTAGTAGGCATATGGTAAGAACTGGTGGTTAGATCAACAACTTGCTCCCTGGGCGGTGCCCTTGGCCCATTGCTGGGCGCCATACGCTTGCTCGAATGAAACTCCGCTGGGCCATCATAGTAGTTCAGAGAGTGCACGTCCTCACGATATACAGGCCTTAAGCGCTTGGTATATGGTTCGGCATGATGCTCGCCGCCATTTGCAAAAGAAGGGAGCGCTTTTCGCTTTGGTGACGGCACCTCATTGTATGGCCTGGCGGCATTCGCATTGTAGTGTCGGACAGGGTGCTGAGACGCCACAACACGATGTGGCGATGTCAAATCAACTGTTTCAGGTTCAACAGAAGGCAGCACAACATCTTGGTCCGACGGGCGCCTTATGTGCGCTGGTGGTCTGTCAAAGGCACTGTGACGAGGTGATGGAGGCTGAACATAACCTTCTTGCACGCGGCGCGGCGCTGCGTGCATGGGAGGATCATACTGTGACCTTGGAGCACCACGAGTTTCTTTGATAGGTTGGAGCTAAGTGTGTTAGCTTGGGAAAAGGATGGGAATTGGGATACCATTGTCTCCTGCTTGTGGAGCTTGACTTTCGAACACTCACTTGGTACAGTTGGCCGTTGATCTCACGGACGATCGGCTGCGCACTTTTCAGGTTCTGACCAGTCTCGGCTGGTCTCGCTCGTCTATAATTGTGAGTACGGATTCGGGTGTTAGCTGTCGTCTGCACTTACGGGTCGATGGTCCTTGTTCGAGCTGGTTGGAAAGGCTGCTGCGACTGGGAATGCAAAGGGCCAGACGAACCAGCAGCCTGTGGAGGTGGAGGGTAGCGCGAAAGGACAATGGTTCTCCTTGGTGCTCGCCTCATATCATGTGCATCCACACGCGGGTAGTTAGCATGTGACTCGGGCTGTAAATCTCGCGCAGTAGCACGACTGGATACAATTTCCATGCTTTGCTCCCGCTCGTCGGGCGTAGACATAGACTCATCGCTGCTTGCATCGTCATCATCATCAAGAACAATGACTTCGCGAAAGGTTTCTTCAAGCTCGTCGCTCTGCTTGCCATCTTCGTCTCGCCACTCTTTGAGTTTTGCAAGAGAAACCTTCTCGACCTGGCTGCGGGCTTCCGACCAGCCATCGGTCTTGAGAAGCTTATCATAGTCTGTATATGTGTGACGGATGTGCGCTACAACGGCGAGTTGCACTCTACGAGCCAACGAAAGTTCCTTGGCATTACCTACCCGGTTTGTCCCTTCCTCGAATGCATGCGAAACAATGGCTTGCAGATCCGCCTCTGGAATCTTGGGAAACATCTCTCGAACGGCGTTATGAATATAACCCTTGGTCTCCTTTTCAGTAGCGGAATGGCCGTGCTGTACCTGTCGCGAAGAATAGTCTTCAAACTCTTGGGCAATCCAGTTAGTCCTCTCGCCTTCTTTATCTTTTCGCAGACCGCGTCTCTCATCATAGATGTACCCGAATTTGCTGCATGCAAGCTCGATGATGTGGATAGGAAAATGGTGTCCGACTCGATGGACGTGATGGGATAACTTCTCGGGGTCGGAGTGGGTTTTGTTCTTCGGCTTGGCCTGCGAGGTTGTTAGTAAACGGCCAATTGGCTTGAGGGAAACGAGACACTCACAGAGACAACATGCACATCAAGGTTGCGCTGTCGACACTGTTCTTTGCACCACTCGGTGAACTCTGGGTGACCGGCTGGGATGAAGCCGAAGCCAGTGGGGGCGTTGGACGCGTATGTTAGCTATTCTACAGTTAGTGGTGTTGCAGGACGATTGAACCGTGTCGTCGACGGACAATGGAATGTAGCTTTTTCTTCTCTTGTGTTACCGCCTCTAATAAGATCTTGTAGGGCTTCTTCTTCTTGACAGCGGCGCGCGACTGGTCAAGCGTACCGCTGCGCTGCGGCGCCTGTTGCGGACGCGCATGATATACTCTGGTCATGGCGGTGGTTTTCAAATGATTTGCATAGATCCCACAGCGGATCAGGGCAATGTGGCGCTACTGGATGACGGAGCACCCTATGTGGCCTTGATGCGGCGTGATTAGTGATTAATACGGCAAGCGTAGCAGTCACGATGGCGTGCAATTGTCCAGAACGAATCCAGATTGCGTGTCTACAAACCCCAGTCGATGCAGAGGCACAGGCGGAGTGTTGGGTTGTACGTGTTGGTGAGTGAGGAGAGTGGGCGAGGTTGGAACATGGGCGGCGGTAATCAACGCCGGCGATACCTTTCTCCGGCACCGCATGATCCGAGGCCTGAGACTGATCGCAATCGTCATACTCGAACATGTCGCAACAAGCAATCGTTCACGCGTATAGACACCTGTACCGGCACAGTCTGAGGGCCATCCAGTTCTCGAAGCCGGCTCGGTATACATTGCGCGACCGCATTCGCTTAGCCTTTCGCAAGGGGTCCGCTGCCGACTATGAGCCACAGAGAATCCGCAACACGCTTGAATTCCTGCAGTATGCGATCAAAGAGAGTGGGCTGGAACACAAGATAGTGAAGAACCTGATGTTCGTATGGCATGTACAGGACACCGGAGGTCGCTTAAAGCATATCCCAAAAAACCTGTACGCAGCCAGCCTGTTCTGCTCCATCTTCAATGCCGCATAGCTGACGCTTCCCAGAACGCGCGACGAGATCGAGATCAAGACCACCGCGTACGACACTTTCAACCACAACATCCGCATGCTAAACGAGAGCATGGGACTATGCCTTCCAGCCATGACTGTTCGCGATCCCAGTTGAGGCGACCCCACTAGGCTGAGATCATTCCGATACAGCCATTGTCGCACCCCGTGGTATGCGGGGCACACAGATACGACAAGGCGCTTACATGAAGTCATCGAGGAAGTTTTCATCGCGGTTCTCGTTGGTGTTCTCCTCCAGATTCTCCTCTGTCATGACATCGTCGTAGGCATGATCTCTCCGCCATGCGAGCTCCTTGCGCTCCTTGGCTATACGGGCCTCCTCCTTACGCTACATTCCGTTAGTTTCGGTTTCGTACCGTTTTTTGAGGCAACTGAGCGAGGGATGACCGATGAGTATGGGTGACGGGGGGTATAGTGCGTCAGAGATTGTGTATGACATGACAGGACAGACCATGAGAGTAAAAAGATGTATAAAAGCTTACGTGACAAAAAGAAACGTGAAGTAGAATGGTGGGAAAATCTTGAGAGCATACATACCTTGGCCTGCAGAGCACCCTGGTCTCGTTTCCTCAACTCAGCCCGCCTTGCTTCTCGCTCTTCTCTCAGATCGGGGAATTTTTCAACTTTGGTCTTGTTAAGACGGTTGACAATAGGATTCTCTCGCTGCTCCACGTGTATGCGCTTAACCTGATCTGATGTCAGTATGCTGAGATTCAAGTGGTCATCAAGCCAAGAAACATTCTACAAATCTTGGACGTGCCTACCTTTCGCTGATCCTTGAACCCAACCTGGCCTACAGCCATGCTGCCATCCTTCTTCAGGTTGCTCCAAGGCGTATATACAATCGTGACGTTATCTTTCTTGTTACCCTCAATACTGTTGGCCTTGGTCAGTTGGGCGCAGTCCACCAGCAGCTCTTTAGTCATCTTCTCCCAATCTTCGCCCTCGGGTAATCGGACGTAGATATGTGCTGATGACAGGTTGTCTGCGTGGAACCAGACATCCTCATCCCAGCCGTATTTGATAAGCTCTTCATCTGTTCACCCAGTTAGTATGTGGAGCTGCAGCTGCTTGACCCTTTGAAAGTGCAACAGCGGACCGAAATGCACGTACTCTCAACCTTGTCCTTGCCCACGTAGATGAAGGCAGATGGGGACACAGTGTTGGAAGAGAAATAGTACACCATCGTGCTAAGAGTATGTTTCTAGATGTCGAGGGTCAGTGTCAAATAGCAAGTCAGAGAGTTGCTAGGGTCGTGAATTTAGCAAGCACGTGTGGGGTCTAGCGGGGTATTCATAGGTAATTGAGCCGCGCTCCAGCCTCAGGGTCCAAAGCTCAAAGCATGCAACATATCACAGTGGCGAGACCTCTTGGGAGTAGGTGTTCGTAATGGAGTTAATTTCAAGCCTCCTGGCTTTTATTCGGTCGTGATATCGTACAGTATATACATTAGAGTTGCAGGTTCTTCCAACACCTACTGCGCGCCTCTCTTGTTCAGAAGCGCATCCTGACTCTCTTCCTCTTCACCCGGTGCAGCCTCTACATTATGGTCGCCAGCACCATGCTTCAAGCTATCCATGGGATTGTCCTGTCGGGCGTGCTTCGCATATTGGTCGTGACCCTTTGCTCTAGGGTCAAAGTTTGCGTCGTCTAGGTTCTTCTTTTCCACACTTGATGGCAACTGGTCACCAGTGCCGGTCATGACCTCGCCTGTCTGTCCGCGGTCGTTGACACTGCGTGGGATGTCGAACGCATTGTCCGCTGCGTGTGCGATGTTTGTATGGGTCTGATCTGGGTGAGAAGAAGGTGAGACCTGAACTCCTATCAGTACACAGGCCTTACACTGACATATAGTCCACGAAACAGGTGTAAAAGCTTACCACGTTCATCTTTCCAGCGTCACCAGGAATCGAAGTGCCCTTTGCGGCCATGTCCTCAAGACGGCCTCCTTGGTGCGGGTCTGATGCCATAGTGTGATCTGAGTTGTAATCGACGAGACTAGTTAGAGGAACGTAAATGCTATGAAGCTTGAAGTCGTTCAAGAGATCAAATGAAGCTGCGTGTTAGCTATAAAAGATCCTACAACAAGCACGCGAGCTTCCATTTTGTAGCTCTTCTATTGCGCCTGAGCACCAGTGGACCGTCTGCGTCATGATGATGCTGATGTCACAACTATGTTTTGGTGTCAAAGAGACGAGAATTCCGACTTTCCGATGGAGTACCTGAGGGGCAGGAGACGCCAAGAAACTCACGTGCGGAACTCACGTGCGGAAAGCGCGTGTGGAGACGCGACTTTTACCACACGATCTCGCAGCGACGTAAACAAACAGACAACTCCTAAAATTATACGCCTGTGCAATCGAAAAGGCCAAGCATCATATCGAACACCAAAGATGCCAGCAGCCGAGCAGTCATCAGCTGACGCCCGTCGGAAGGCCGCTCGTGAAGTCATCGATATTCTTCATGAAATCGCAACATTGCTAGTATGAAACACTACGCCTGAAGGAAGCGCCTGATACCTAACATTAGCCCTAGAATACTCATCTTGATCGCCAGCAGTTGTCATACTGCGTATCGCTCATCGAAAACGGCGCGAACCCGGAGGCATTAGCGGTACGTACCCAGTACGGCACAGCAAGGTGTAACAGCAGATCGCCTCGCGCGCGGTTCGCACTGTTGCGTTGAAGTCGCGGCCTGCTCTGCGCGACCGCCAGATATACTGACTGTGGCACAGAAAGTCATACTGCAGTTGCGCGAGGAGTATCCAGCGAGTTCAGTTGACGGTGATACAGAGGCTGGTGCAGCCGCGCGTTGAGCCCGAGCAGGTTCGGAGTCCGAAACTGTTCCTGTGCAGCTTTACACGGGCGGTACCGTGCAACCTGTTGCGCAGCTTCACATGCACTTGCAGGCCGATGAAGGAGCGAACAGGAGCAGTCAATCAATAGTGCCTATGGTATCATTTGTCTTGTGTTGAGCTTGGGCCGTTATCATCGTAGCAGCCAACCTACCCAGACATTGGCGCTGGGCTAAGCCATCGTCTCCGGGTCCGCTTGCATGCATCATGCAACCTTGACGGAAAGCCTGGAAAGCCTAATCTCCCCTTGTACATGGAGGGGCAGTAGCGAGCAACGCGGGGCAAATCTACCAACGAACCGGAATCTGACGCCAAGGTGCTGATATCGAAAGGTTATGCACCGTTATCAGTACATGCGGCCTGTTTTCTCACTTGTTCGTGGATCGAGAGGGATGCCGCGATAAGGACAGCCCGGATTACAACCACAAGGTTTGTGGAGGTCGCGCGGAACAGTCGGGTATGCAATGCATATCAGTGAATATTAATCTATTCAGCTTCAGGCGGGACGCAAGTCACCAGGGCAGCGGAGTTGAGCGTTATGCAACTAGTTCTGCTAGATATCGTCATTGTATTCTATCAACAAAGGCCCGTTGTATCGTCTATTATGACTCTGATGTATGGTCTGTATGGTGATGATGACAGGGACTCGATGCCGAAATAGGAACATGAAAAAGCAAGTACAGAAAACTTGATGCTAGCAACGATAACGATCGTTCGGGGTATCATCAACGAGAGGAATGGGGTATCTTCCAAAAGAAACTCATCGCCGCGATAAAGTGAAGACAGAACACCACCTGCTGTCCTAAACAAAATGAAATGTGTAGCATGTGTCTACCTGCTGCCCCAGGTGGGGGAGCTTTGGCGCTGGCGAAAGTTGCCCTTCGCATCTGCAACTTTTTGTAGGGCCTTCTCAGCTTTGGCATCTTGCTTGTTGATGAAGCCATTAAAGACGGCAGGGAGAACGCGCTTGGAGTCTGGTGTACTGTTAGCAGTGGCCTGGGACTATGAGTAGGTGTGCACTTACTGGCATGGTCAGCATCGAAAACAATGCCATCTGCACCTCGCTCTCCCGCAACCTTGACAGCTTCCTCTAGAAGACCTTCGCCAACGCCCTTGCCGCGATACTTCAACTGTACAGTCCAAGCGCGCACAACGGCCTTGCCCCTCCTTCTCCGGCCACGTTTCTTTGCGGCATCATTATCGGCCCAACCCAATACCAAGGATCCAATGACGTCCTCACCCCACTTCACTACGATGAGCCTGTCATCGCCCAGCCACTCCATGTTGATTTCCTCGGCCATGCCAATGTAACCACCAGTCATCCATCGAATAAAGATAAGGAAGGTCATCGAGATACCTCCAATGGTCGTGAGAAGCATCAGTTTGTCCTCGTACCAGCGTAGTGTGAGTTGAGCCGCAATGGCGACAATAGCGAAGTAAGCGGCTAGCGAAATGGGGTGAAACAGCATGACCTTGCTTGCGACCTGACGTTGTTGTGCGACCGAATCTGCTACCAAGCGCAAGCCCTCAATGCGATCATCCTCTGTCTCGGCAGTGTAGGTGGAGAGTTGCGGCAGCTCGTCTGTGGGCGGCTTAGCCGGTGCGTTTGCTTCGGCCGTCGACATGGCTTGAGACTCGGCAGGCGAGGGGTACGGGTTGTACTGCGCGGGTAATGTTGAGTAGGATAGCGACGTGGAAGGAACCTCTTGGCAGAAGTTGTTCAATCGAAACGACGTAGGTGTTGGCAACGGCGAGGGCAGATCAGGATCAATTCTGAGATTTGCGCTCAGCGACGTTAAGAATGCTGTTGTTCGCGCGTTAGCTCGTATTCGTACCCAAGTATCTCGCGCGTCTATGTTGCTGCATGGTTGACATCACAACCCCAGTCGCGGCAACCGAGCACACGACCATCAACACTCCCGGAGAAAATAAAATAAAACCAAACATACCAGCACTTGTCCTAAATCCCGGTAAAGACGGTATGGCAGGAATGGCCTTTTCAATTCCGGAGTAATGGTTTACAACAACCGTATCCTGACCCAAAAAGTGTTGTCTTGGAAAGGCATGGGGACCAGGCGGGACCTTGAGATGACTTGGGGGAAGTTGGCGACGCATCCTTCTTATAAAACAATCCGAGGCTCGATGCTTTCCGAAATTCGATTACATATACAAGCGTATGTCAAACACGTGGGCGGACCAGCCAGGAAAGGGAAGACAGAGTAATTAAATGAAGTAAGGTGGGAAGCACGTCGGGGACTGTGGTACGTAGATGTGGAAAGGTTAGAGGCTAGAAGCAGAGCCAGACAACCGCAAAAAATCCAGATCGCGAACAAGTGGGAAAACGTGCGTTAAAGTATTGGCTTACAAGCCAAGACAACTATAACACAGATCCTTTCACTACACGATTTTCCCGCGTCAACGGGGTCTTCTTTCGCACGAAGCGGGTCCAACACAAACGCACAAGCCATGTCATGGTACGTTCCGTGCATTCCTTGGTTGCGTACGTGCGGGTGGGAGCGAAGCGCAGGAGTCGAGGCGCTGCCCGGCTGCGACGACGATCTTCACAGGCCCACCCTGAGCTCACTCTTGGACCCCTTGTCTGCGCTGCTTCAGCTGCAAAGACAAGTGCCTGCGACGGCTATTGGCTGGGGGCTGCAATAGAGATAAGACGCTTGAGGGCCAACAACAGCTCTGCATCCAAACAGATCTGGATCATGGGATGCATTCATCGGCGAGAGCGGTGTGGCGGGGGTTGGATATGGATAGTCTGCGGATCCGTGTTGCTGCGCGTGTGAGTCTTTGTGTTGGTTTTTGATGGAGGTGTGGTTGTTTCTATTTTTCTAGCTCGAGTTTGTACAAGCGGCTATCCAGAAAACGGCAGACATGCAAAATACGGCCTCTGCGAAGAAGCTTGTTCTTTTTGTGTGGTCGCACGGCCAAAAGAGATACACCATCTTTTGTTTTGATGGCACGTTGCTACAGGCCACGGCGAACATCTCTAGGGTGCGCTTTGGCAAATACGATAGTCGTTGGAGCTAATGTGCTTTTTCGGACCATGCTTATTCCAATTCATGTAGTACTATCCTCTCGCCCTAGATCATATCTACCATCTGCAATTCGCTTGATACTTAACATCTGTCATGATGACAGCCGTCACTCCATCTTCGTCATGCGACTCCCGCGCCTGGGCTCGCTTGCGCTTACCCTTCACAACCCCTCCAACCCGCTCTTGGCCACTCGTGCATCAATCTCAAACGCCGCCCTCCGCGTCAAAGCGGACAGGCTGAGACTGCGCAGGCATGCGTCTTGTATTACCGTAGTTCGTTTCACGTTCGTTTGCCCAGGCCTTGCATAGCACCCCCTGCTTTCGATTGACGATACAAATGGACCCACTTTGCTTGCTTGCGCGTTGCGTGCTGGACGCCGAACGGGCGTTTGTCAAGATCGAGTATCGTGATACAGGCGTGGGATGCGCACGTTGTCTACACTAAAGGCGTGCTTTCTGCATATCTCGTCTCTTCACAAACACCACCCACTCGCCAGCAGAATGCCAGCCTCCCCGGTCCACTACTGGCAAGTATCGCGACTTAGTGCGATAAGCGCTTCCTCGTGATGAGGTCTCGAGGTGTTACTAACATACACTTCTCCAACCAACAGCCCTCAACTCCACAATTCAGCTTTCAAAATCCGGCCTAGATCCCTCTACAAAACTCCCGCATATCGCGCATCATATCCTACCTGCCAGCCAACCACATTGTATACATTATCCTTTGGTCCCCGGCTTGGCCTAACAATGCTGCGATCTGACGTGTGTGCTCTCCACATCTGGTCATCTACTCCACATCAGTCATCCAGTTGCAGCCTCAGATCACTTCGCCTGAGGCATTGCATGCATGCGTTGCGTAAACACGCGTCGCCTTCTCCACAGGGTAAGAGTAAGCCCGTTGGACAATGGAGAACAAAGGCTTGTTTGACGTTAACATGCGGACGATCCTACAGACAGCGTGAACCGTGTGTTCGAAACGAGCAACGGGCGATGCGCACGTTTCGGGCTCGTCAGGTAAGTTGTACTTGTTTCGAAGTGTCAGGATCACCGCACGATAGGCGAAAACGAAG